ACCAATTTTGTTTTGATTATAACACAGAACAATTTAATAGTCTCAGACCCCCTTTTTGCTGGTGGACATCCCATATAATAACAACCATAAACCATTCAAATTACAATAACTGTGCTAGCAACTTCCACCTCTCTTTTTACATCTAGTAGTAAGTTTGAGAGATAATACTGCCTAAGACAAGAAGAATTAGTTTAAAAAAATGTCAGATCCGCAAAATAAATTACAGTATTTAATAGACCTTCCTCAAATGTGTGGATCCATTTTGCTAAAAATCACATAAAAATTTAAAGAACATTTACTCTGCACAAAAAAGCTTATTATGGACAACCATAGAACCTTTTATCACATTTGGCAAACCATTGTACTCGTGAAATTGGAAGAGAATGTTTAAGACAAATAAACAATGATAGAACCTTTATGAAAGCACATTGTTAACAAAAGAATGCAATGATTCTGTTAACTGGGAATTAATCAAAACATTTGTTCGCTGTGGAATTTCTCTTTCAGTTGTAGTAATACATACTTTATAGATCTTCTTCAACAACTCTGTCTGCGTATCAACCACCATCTAGGAGTGTTTTATCTGGAAAATTTCTTGATACAGAAATATCTAATGTTTCTAAATGGAAGTGCAAGTTTACAGATTGAAAATAATGACAATTTTGAAAACAGAGTCAATCATTACTTAGAAAATGAAGATTGTAATTTAGAAGATGGGAATAATGATGAGGAGACCAAAGATGATGTTAAAACAAATAATGATAATTGCAATTTAAACAATATATCAAAAAAGAAATAAAAGTCGAAGCTTATATAAAGCAACATAGTTATGTAGAAGAAATGTTGATAATGTAATTGTAAAAAATAAAAGACAGAAATCTAAATAATTGTTAGTTGATAACAATCCAATCATACCCAAAACTATTCGCTAGTAAATACCCTCACTATTCAATCTTATCCTCAAAAATTATTTTTATTATTTATTATTATTATTGTCATCAATTAAATTCGCCCCCAAAAATTAATTAGGGCTGGAAATAGCACTTTTGAAATCCTTTAAAATTTTTAACCTCTAGAAAAAAAGGTCGACGAATATTTTCTGAATTTCCAATTGCATGCCCAAATGGACTTCAGAGAAGAAAGGATGGTTTGAGCAGCAAATAATTGGTAACGAAAAAAAAACTCAAAAAAGTCATCATCATTGTCAAACAAAAGAAACAAAAGACCACAATCAAGAAGAAGCAACAAACAAGAAAACATGCTCTAATGATGGATCAAGAGCAATATCAGGAAAATTAATTAGTATGAATAACTAGGCTTTAGAACAATTATTAAAATTCCATATTAAAAATTTTTTTATTTATAATTGTTAGTCTAATGAAATTTTATATACAAATATTCTGGAAATTTAGAAATATGAAACTTTATATGCAGTACCTCCAGAACATATGCCACAAGTTGGCATAATTTTTTGTACAGTTATTATGTACGTTTTTGCGTAAATGATGGTATTTAGGGTGACCGAAACTTTTGCTAATACTAAGGTACTGTATAATTATTCCATCTAACCAAATTTTTTAATAATATTACCACTTCAATTTGTTCAAATAACAATTGGTCAGCTTCAAAAATACTAAAATAACAAAAATTTTATATCATTTAAAAAGTTTACCAATATGTTTGTTTTCCATGACTTGATCTTTAAACTTATCGGCTAGCTTTCTTAAACAAAAAATTGGCCGAGAATTTGCATTTTTGAAAATTCAAAATTATTATATATACACTTTAAAAATAGAGACCATGTAATGGAAATTTTTTTCATCGAAATAAGTGTTTTTATTGTGAAGTATAAAGTGAAGGGCAATTTATTATTAATAATATTCAAAATCTATCTCCACACATTAATATGCTCGTACTTTCTACATACGAAAGAATATTTTGAATAATCAAATCATTGAAATTATTTTGATTTTTTAATTTTGCAAGTCTCGTGTGTTAGCTTTTCTCTATTTCCGGATAAATACTACTTGCTATTAATCAGTACTTTCTAGTTGTAAAGCTCCTCCGTATATTCCATTATCAATGGACAAAGTTGACAGAATAATCTGGGTTGAAATCATTGATACATATTTTTCACGACATATGATCACACGAGGTAAATTTAACTTTACATATTAGTAAGAAAAAAATAAGAATAATAAACATTGAATCCGTGAGAAACCTACCACAAACCCTACGCAATATTTGCAATATCAGAATTGTAATAAATATGAGCATGTATTTAATAGGGAACGTATTTAATTATGATAAATTGGAATACTTGGTTAAAGTTAGGCAGAAAAACTTTTCGAACTTGATTGATATTTTCTGTTAAAGTTTTTAAAAACAATTGTAAATTACTTGAAATGTAGATCTTTTTTTCCGATTTTCTCAAAATCATGATTTTTGACGTTTGGTCCCTTTCTATTGTCCCATGCCCCATATACTGGTGAAGTTTCAGGAGCAATGAGTTCTGTATGACATTTCGTGTAACAACAAACCTCCACCATGCTTTATTATAGTTGCTTTTATATATTCAATTCAAAATAATTTTACTGTAATTAAGAGGGTGTATAAAACAAAAAAAAAATTCAACTTTACTTTGTCAATAATTTTTACTTTCATCAAATCGTCAAAATAACCCTTGGTGAGAAGCTACTTTTATTCTGTACTTTCGTCATGTCAATGACTAAAGTCAAAACTAAAATTAAAAGTTATATGTCAAAACTAAATCAAAAGTCAAAAGTCAAAAAGTCAAAACTAGTTTCGATTTATGGCGAAGCCTTTTGACTTTCATACAGTTGCAAAACCTTTTAGTTAGTTTTGGAACCCAACACTAGTGCTAATATTACGTAAAATGATAGAATACATCAAAAGATTGACAAATACAATAAGATAATGTTTAAAAAATTGCATTATTTGAAAAACAGCTTCAATGTCAAAAAAATTTATCATCATCAAAATTTAATGATAACTTCTTTACATGACAATATTGACTACTTATGTGTGTTTCTAATTCAGGAACTAAAGACAATTCGGATGCGTTTTTATTTTTTTCATTTTATGAGATGTAATAATGAAGAAGAAATATTAAGAATTATTTTGATTGTTAATTTGTAGACAGTAGAAAGAAAATATCATTAAGATGAAGCTATGAATTACTATTTTTTGATCAGATTTACTGTATATTGTGATCAAAATTTTAGTAATAATAATGAAAGTTTAAATAATTTGGATAAGAAAAAGTACTGTTTCAAATTGAGTTAATTAGAAAAGTGGAACTTTAAATTAAAAATTAATAATAATTGTTCTTCAATTATTGAGATGAAAA